GAAGGCGCATAGCCTTGATTCAATGGCGAAGGCGCATAGCCTGAGTCCCAGTTCAACTGTTGTTGAACTTAGTCCATTTTGATGGCGAAGGCGCATAGCCTGAGTCCCAGTTCAACTGTTGTTGAACTTAGTGGCGAAGGCGCATAGCCTTGATTCAATGGCGAAGGCGCATAGCCTGAGTCCCAGTTCAACTGTTGTTGAACTTAGTCGATTTTGATGGCGAAGGCTCATGGCCTGAGTCCCAGTTCAACTGTTGTTGAACTTAGTGGCGAAGGCGCATAGCCTTGATTCAATGGCGAAGGTGCATAGCCTGAGTCCCAGTTTAACTGTTGTTGAACTTAGTCAATTTTGATGGCGAAGGCTCATGGCCTGGATCCCAGTTCAACTGTTGTTGAACTTAGTCAATATTGTGGGTATTGAGTGCTGAAGCTCGGTTTTGATTCGAGACCTTGAGCGGCTTATCCGTTGTCTTCCCAACCAGGGTATATAGGCTGTCTTGAGGCGACTCTCGGCTCGAGATATCTCCGTGCCGGTTTCGGGTCGGAGCTCGTATCAGGGACGCGGGAGATGCCTTACAGAGATCTTCCCTTAGGAGGGGCTTCTTCTTCTTCTTTGCACTATCCGAGATCAGAGAGAGAGAGGACTTGGATCTTGATTGGAGATCTTCGAGTTTCCCTTGTCTGACATGCCGCTTTGGCTTATTTGAGCTGGGTTGCTTTTGTTTTCCTCTTCTGGCGTTTCTTCCTTTTTGGTCCGGGGAAGAACTACGCGATTTTCCTAGGAAATCTCCACAGACGGCGCCAAATTGTTTGCTCAAAAGTTATCACATACCTTATGAGTATAAAACAACATAATTAAATCACGGAAAAATCATAGCAAAACGTAATAATCCATTGGACCAAATGAAGGAAATGAAAATAAGTACTCAGAGTTAGGAGGAGAAACATGAAAAATCCTTTATTGATAATGTTGATTTGGCCTGCCTCTCCATGAAGAGGTTCAGGGCCTTACAATGGTGCTCTACTTTCTCATAATATGGGTATCATTGTGTTTTTTCTCTTTTTCCTGGATAGTGACCAAGAAGGAGCCCCCTTTCTAGGATTTTCTCTCTTGGTATTTATAGCTATGAGCTTCGTGAGCTGGCAATTAGTGGCCGTGACCACGTTGGGGTTTCGCCTTCATGATGGCGGATGGGCCGTGGCCTTATTGATCAAATCAGGCAAGGGTTAAAAACCGTTAATTCTAAGTGGTCGCACCACTTATTAATCATGAATTAGCTTAAGACGGGGTTAGCTTCGTTAGTTATCGTGGGGTCGGATTCTGACCCATACAAACCACTCATATTATCCACTAAAAAATGGGTTGGATAATAAATTTTTTAAAAACGGGTCAAATATGGATAAGAACTATATTATCCATTTAGAAAATGGATAACCAATGGATAACTAATGTGTTTAACTTTTACATTTGTAAAACCTCAAATTGGGGGTTCCTCAAGTTTATGAGATTAGGAATTCTTCCAAAAGTAAGCCTCACCCATATTATTTGCCGATCAACCCATTTTTTATCCGTATTAAATATGGTTCGGGTCGAATAATTTATCTGTATTTTCATTAATCATTTTCGACCCGCCTAAGTATACGCAAACAAAAACCTTCATAAACTCTAATCACTTCTTTTCTTATCCTTCATCGTGAAAAGAAGAATTTGAACGTCAAATTCAAGTGTTCTGCTTTTTCACTTGAAATTCTTTGGGTCCTGAGTTGTCTAGAACCAAATAATGTTGACAATAACACCTTATACCACGTTGGCAAGTCCTTCCTCCCCTAGATAATTCATATGGTCATTAAATTATAGAGAAATTTTCAGAAATCATTATGTTTTACTGATTATTAGCTTACTATAGTTATCATTTATTAAATTACTTTTTATAGCTATGTTTTCAGTTGTTACAGACTGCATTAATACAGTAGCAAAACTCGGCGGAAAACAGGGGAGTCCAGCTAAGCAGAGAATGTACTCGACTGATTAGTGAATACAATAACGGAATTTACGAAAAAAAGGTCTTCAGCTGTTTAAAAACGGTAAGTGAATCAATTAACGCGATAGACTCCTAATATAACTCAACAAACTCAATTATAACACATAAAATTTGTATTTCCAGTTATAGAAAAGATTCTCAACCGAAAAATACCCCAAAAACATAGCATTCTTCATAGATTCAATCCATCCTTTCTTTATTTAGTGGTATCTTTACTAAAATATTTTTTAATGGTATCTTTACAAATAGAGTTATATATTGAAATTATATAATTACATTGAATACAGTTAAATACATAAAAATACATTGAATACATGAGGTATAACAGGTCATCTATAGTGCAAATACATATGAATACATACCGCAGATATATTTGAATACATATATACATCTGAATACATAAATTATATTAATTAAAAAAATATATGAAGATATTCTACAATACATTGAATACATACTGCTGGACAAAACAGTAAAACAAAGTGAAGCTTTGAAATTATATAATTACATTGAATACAGTTAAATACAGTGAATATATTGAAAAAGTAGAAAAAACTAAAGACAGTGAATACAATGAAATACATGGAATACAACGAGATACATTGAAATACAATGGAAAAAAAAGTAACATACTCTTCAAGTTCCTCAGCCCCAAACTCCGTCCCCAATCCACCGATATCCAAGCCACCGCCATGTGGGACGTCGCCACCGATTAAATGAAGACAACACCAATTTACAGGATCAAACGGAAACTAGAGACAGAACTTTTCAGATCTCACAATGCAAACATGAACAATCAATGCAAAATCTAAGAAAAAATTAGAATGTATAACACAACTGTGTGAAAGAAATCGCCGGCCGGAGGAGGGGCTTAGGGGTGACACAACAAGGAAGGGGGGAAGTGGTCGCCGACCGAATCTGTCGTTGACGGAACACAACCCCTGCTACGGTTTCTAAAAGCACGGGAGGAAAAAACCGGGGGAAAAAGAGAAGAAAGAGGAAATAGAAAGGAGGAGAGAGGGAGAGAGAGGGAAAGAGAAAAAGAATGCACAGAGTATTTAATGGCTTAAAGGTAGGAAGTGACCATAAATAGATATTTTGCTATAAAAATTAAAAGATAGTTATAGAAAATAATTTTTTAAAAGGGTATTTATTTATAATAAATAAAATATCAACCTTTACTATAGGAGGTAAATTTCCTAAATTGATACCCACCGAAAATTATCAATTTATGCACTGAAAATTTAGTTTTCAAGGCAAGGAGAGAAAACTTCTAGATTTGTCTAGTTTGTTACAAGCGAGCAAGACACTAGACTACTGAGACATAATGTCTCACCTTTCAACTTCAAATAACTTGTTTTATTAGTACTATATACAATTCAGACCATTATACTTTTGAAAATGTGTTTGTAAATATTAGGGGCGTTAATGGTTCGGTTTGGTCGGTTATTTTATAAAATTTGTACCATACCAATTTTTTGGTTATTCTATTATGTATAACTAAAATTAGACTTTTCGAAACCATCCCAATCATGTCGGTTTCTCTTCGGTATCGGTACGGTTCGGTTAATTTTCGGTATTTTTTTAATATCATGTAAAATTCACCAGTAGAAGTATAATGAACGCAATAGCTTACATTCTTTTAGAGGGCTTACCAAAACTCTCTAGACATTTTTACTGTTTAAAGGGTGATGAATTAAAAAAGAAAAAAGAAAGATGGCTAGAGTATAGATCCATCAACTATTCTACAGCAATGTAAAAGAAATCAAACAGAGGCAAAGAAAATATAAATCATACGAGTTGAAAGATATAACAAGCTGGGACTCAAGTATAAAGTCTATAGAAGATTAAATATTCAAAAAGATAAATCTTAATTATATGAAAGGAAACTTATTCAATACATTGTGGTTTGCTACTCATAATCGCTAGAATACTTTGTGTCTTGCTAATAAAGATACTTGAAATAACTTAGTTTAAGTAGAAGTAGCATAATAGGTTTTAGGAATTAGTATTTAGAGTTTAATTAATTGTTGGCTTGTAATAGTTTATATAATTCCAAGGCCCAAAGAAAATTTAATGCATTATTATTTTTAAACTTACTAAATAAATATAATTTTCATATGTAAAATTTATTCGGTAGGGTTCGGTATTTTTTTCGGTTTATTTTTATAAAATAAAAAACCTACCATAATTATCAGTGCGGTTATAGATTTATATAAAAACCTACGATTTCTTAAAAAGAAACCTAAAAATCGGTTCGGTGCGATGCGGTTCGATCGGTTTAGTCGGTTTCGAATATCCATTGATACGCATAGTAAATATCTCAAACCTTATTTGTTCTCTATTTCCTTTATTCTTGTTTGTTTTCTCGCTATGTTTTAAAAAAAGAACCGAGGGATTCAAAGTATAAAGTTCAAACTTTCTAACCAAATTTGGACATTAATTTTTATTTTTGCTTAATGATAAGTTTAAACAGTTAGAAAGTACATAGAAAGTGCAATAGATTAGGAGTAACATTTCTAATAAAATATATGTTGGAAAATATACGAGGTGAAGTGTTGGTCTTTGACTCTTTTTTCAAAGTCCTTTCATCCTTTTCTCGCGGTATTTGTTTGCTATCAATCTCTCCTCCCTATTTAGCCTTGGACAAAATTCACCGATTTATGCTATATTCCTAAACAACCCGACTCGTAGATAATGCCTCGTGGAGCGGCAAGATCCTGGCACAATGGGGCTCTCATCCTTTCTAGCACCCCCTTCCACAGGGCTTGGACCCGGTCCGCCGCGAAGGACGCTCCAGACTACAATTCGGACGACGGAGTGGCTGGATTAGCATAAAAAGGAAATGAAACACGTGTTCATTTTCTTAACGAATAATGTTTGACAGACAAAATGAAAGGAAGTGCATTAATCTATGAATATCCGTAATTAAAATTTGTAGTGCTGTGTAGATCCTTCTGCACGTCACTGTACGCAGAGGCTGTTATGCCTACAGTACATAACACGTTTCGTAATTCGTAAATTATGCAAGTAAAGTAGTACGTACGAGTAATTCATAGCCAGTTCTCATTTCTGGTACGCCACCATAAGACGACAAAAATCACACAGATTAGATCAAAAGGTTTCTGTTCTTAGAGCTCGAAATTACTCAGTTAGAATAAATTCCCTTACAGCCAATTAAAACCCTGTCAAGTTTGAAAAGCTTGAAATTCAGTCAATTGAGCAATTGGAATGGCGACGGCGGGGGAGAAACCGGTGATGGTGGTGGGGCTAGATGACAGCCAACACAGTTTTTATGCATTAGAGTGGATTTTGGATCACTTCTTTGGCCCTTCACCTAATTCCCACGCTGCTCCTTTCAAGCTCCTCATCGTCCATGCTAAACCTACTGCTACTTCCGCCATCGGCCTCGCCGGTCCTGGTATGTATGTTTTATTTGAAATATGAGCTTAGCAGCTAAAAATTTTCAATTTTAAATGTGCTCTATATCTCCGATTTTACTAGAAATGGATTGCCTGGTTATGAATTCATGAGATCGTTTTAATTGCAGGAGGTGCTGATGTATTGCCGTATGTGGAGGCAGATTTGAGGAAGATTTCTTCTAGGGTTGCCGAAAAAGCTAAGCAGATCTGTTCTGCTAAATCGGTATTCAACTTTTGTTTTAAAATAAAGAATTTTTCTTTTAATTTTATTACACAACTTTTGCTCCAGAATAAGATTTGAACCAATTCCGTACCCATTGAGAGTTTGGCTGTTTTGACTTTGCTAGTCTAGCTAACAGTCCATAGCGACAGAAAGATCCAACCAATGGAAGAAATCAATAGAGAATGATTATCTGCTTCCTAAAGAGTAGGAAGTCACTTCTTTGAAAGAAAGTGCTGAGGATTAAGACAAATACTATACCACTTTCGCAGTTATCCTGACCTTTTCTTAAATTAAATGTTTGTTCTTTTCATAAAAGAATGCAAGTCCAGTATTTGTTCTATTTTTCCCTTTTAAAATTCTTTCTTCTTACAAGCAAATATTTCTTCTATGTTAGATTTTAGTACTATAGCTTTTTGGTCGTCGAGTAGTATTTAGAGGTGGGTTGTTTTATTGGTCTAACTCGCCTATTCTTTTCTAGAAGAAATAGTTGTGATTAGAGGTGGCAAAATGGTTAAAAGAAAAAAGTTATCCACCCATATTATCCATCAACAATGAGTTGAATGATGAACCTTTTAAAAAAGGGTCGAATATGGATAAAGAACCATGTTATCCACTTAGGAAATGGTTAACCAAATGGATAACCAATGGATGACTAATGTGTTTAACTTTTACATTTGTAAAGCCTCAAATTGGAGTTCCTCAAGTTTGGAAGACTAGGAATTCTCTCACAAGTGATCATATTTAAGAAGCCATGGATAATATGGATATCCATATTATCCGCCGGATAAACCCGTTTTTATCCGTCTCAAATACGGGTCGGATAATTTATCCGTTTTTTGAAATTACCCGTTTGACCCGCTGATATCCGCCCCGCCCCGCCCGCCCGTTTGCCACCCCTAGTTGTGATCATGTCATCTTTTTGCTGGATACGTTGTCAAAATTATCTTCAGAACTGATCCAGTGATCTCCAATCTTATCAGTATTTTGATTGCATATTTTTGCAAATTCACAACTGATCAGTGATCATCTTCAACTAACCAATCTTATTGTTTTCAGGTAAACGATGTTGTAGTTGAGGTTGTGGAAGGTGATGCTAGGAATGTCTTGTGTGACGCTGTAGAGAAGCATCATGCCTCTATGTTAGTTGTTGGTAGTCATGGTTATGGCGTTCTAAAGAGGTAAATTTTCCTTATTCCACACATTTGATGGCCCGACCTTTAGTTGCAGATACATTATTCCATTTCCTTTTTCCCCCTCTTAAGGCTTGGTGCTTAGGCCTCTCTGCCGGCAAGGGTAGGGGTAAGACTGCATACATCTTACCCTTCTCAGACCCCACTAGTGGGAAGCTACTGAGTTTGTTGTTGTTAAGGCTTGGTGCTTAGCACGAGTTAATCTGCTCAAATTACACACCTTCCGCTAATAAATCGATTAACTAATTCTCAATCCCAATATATCAATCTTTTGTATCCATTCCGTCCTAATTGAGTTGATGATAAGAGTTTTCCTGGTAATAATTCATAATGCAAATTTTCCTGCAGGACTGTTTTGGGAAGTGTCAGTGACTACTGTGCTCACCATGCCCACTGCAGTGTGATGATTGTGAAGCGCCCAAAGGTCAAGGCTTGATATCTTTCTGATTTGTATCCGATTCTTGTTGTCTGAACAAGTTTTAGAGCTTGTGATAATTGCTCCAAGTGGAGGACTTGGTTTATTGTCTGTATTTATCCGATTGTTTGACTCTTAATAACCATATTTATGTATATTTCAATGTAAAAGTTCTGCCGTGTAACATATTGTGGCTAAATTTCATACTCTTTATAATAAATCCCGCTCTCTTTTCTGTCCATTATTGATTAACACGGGTTGAATATGTAGATGCTTTCATGAACATGATACCTAGTATTATTATACCAAGAATTTACCCAGATAAACGCTTCTAGTTCTCCATACCCTTTTCCAGAACGCCTGTCATTTGTCAAGTGCAGATTATCAAATAGGTAGACTAGTGCTCAGTCCTTGCATGGAAAATTTTCTTTGATGGTTGGAAGGAAAAAGTTTGAGGTTGGATTCATGATTAATTTCTGAGAGAGAAGTCATTCTTATCTTACTGATGCAACCCTCTAATATAAGAACAACTTCTTTAACTTTTCCTCTCTTTGATCAATCAATGCTAGTAGACTTCTAAAGAAGCGAACCAAATGGTGCATAAAGTATCTCAACCTAAAAAGACAGAGAACTTTGCTAGAAAATACAGCACAAGAAACACATTAGGTCCAGACGCTCTGCAATGTGCTCTCTGACATGGCGACGTCACTTTACTCGAGCTGAATCGTTCTTCAGAATTGCATATTCCTATTCTAAAAGGAGAAACGCTATATCCACCACAAACTGGTGCAAGACAGGGCAACTTTTGTGCTAATCTTTTGGTAAATGCAGCGTCGCAGAAGAGGGATAATACAAGAACCGAAGCCGGAGCTAAACACTTTACTACAAGTCTTATATATCTATTTAACTATCCAAATATCGACGAAAAAAATATCCAAGCTTTTTGCCGGAACGGACCATTTTTGTTCAATAACATACCAAAGTAGATGATTGACTCATTCCATATTACAAATAAAATCCTTTGATAATCCGGATTCTTATTTCTCAACGATCAAGACAATGTAACTTCGATAATGCCTACGGGTACACAAATCAACCAACCACTTTCAATCCTTCGCAGTCGAAACTATATGATTCCTCTCTTTCAAGTATCAGAACTAGGGGTGGCAAAATGGTTAAAACAAAACAGTTAATCACCCATATTATCCACTAAAAAATGGGTTGGATAATGAACTTTTTAAAAATGGGTCAAATATGGATAAGAACCATATTATCCATTTAGAAAATGGATAACCAATGAGTAACCAATGGATAACCAATGGGTCTACTTTTACATTTGTAAAGCCTCAAATTGGGGGTTTCTCAAGTTAGGGAGACTAAACATTCTCCCAAAAGTGATCATATGCAAGAATTCATGGATAATAGGGTTACCCATTATCCGCCGGTTAACCCATTTTTTTACCCGTATTAAATATGGGCCAGGTCGGATAATTGATCCGTTTTTTCATTACCTGTTTTCGACCCGAACCATATCCGCCCCGCCCCGCCCCGCCCCGCCCGTTTGCCACTCCTAATCAGAACAGCTAGATGCTGCAGCATTCCGCATCACATCTATAATATCACGCCCTTTTGTTTTAGGATCGTAATTAATGATAGTTACCTTATTAAGTTACTTGCTTTTCCAAGTTGTGAACTAGAATGAGCCTCGAGGTCTCCCCAAATCCAAATTACTACTACTACTTCACTATTGGGGTTGATCTTTACACTGAACAAATGGCAACGTGAAAAAATAGCATATCACCAAAGTAGGCAACCACTTTAGAAGGAAAAGTCAGCTGATGGATTATTGTATGCAAGGACTGGCAGAAATAATAACTAGGAATCCCATAGTTAGGTCGAGATACAACCACAAGGTACTTATGAAGAAAATTCAGACTCTGAAGAATGAGATACTTCCTTCCCAATTTCAAGATTCACACTAGATTTGCGACTTTTTCCCTTCAAGAAATTGGAGTACCAATGTTGAGAAAGCTTTGGATATCTTGTTAAATTTTTGTCGTCCAAATCCACGTAGTATAGGCCATATGCTGATTCATATGCATCCAATAACTCCATACCATCCAAGAATGACCACGAGAAGTAGCCTCTGACATTTGATCCATTCCTATCATAACAAGGCATTGTAGGGATAAATGGCAAACAGATCAGAAAGAAGGCCCAAAAACACCTAATATAATTGTTAGACCCTCCGTCCAAAAAATAATACTATTGAAGATCAGCTCAGACACTTTAGGACAGAGATGACTTTTTAATTGATTAGAAGATACAAAACCTTTCTGCGGCAACAACTGTTAAAAAGCCAATCCACAGAGTATGAGAAAAAGAAACACATCCTGATCAATACTATTACTCATTGACTGCAGAACTATAGACTTGTTCCTTATGTCTTCGGTTAAAAGAACACTAGTCTGAACTTGCATATTTGTATAGTTAATCTTCACATTCTATAGTTAATTTCCATGACGTGGGAGGGGCTTACCTCATAGCATCAAGCAAATTCCTGATATAAGCATGCAAATATTCTACTCTACCCATATCATTTAGTGTCGCGTTTCGTGGTGTCGTCTGACCTGCCAACAGAAATCATGCTAAGCTTCTCAGAAAACACTGATTCATGAGGTTCAAAGAAAGCTCTGTGCTCTATTGAATTATCAAAGCCTCTAAAGCAACTTTCATGTACTCAAATATTCACAAGCGTCGAGAGAGGGAGAGAGACGAACCATTCTCATGAATGTAAATTGGTAGGTTGCCATAAGTTTTCTTGAAGTACTCCAGTACTGCTTGGAGACCCGGTTGTGTCCATGGATACTGAGTCAAAACAACTTGTGAATAACAGATAAAATAACACTAAGGTGTATCTAAAGATCATGCATGTCCCAAGCCTCACCTCGCCTTTGGGTGTAACACCACCTTGCTCAACTGTTTAAAGAGATAAAATAGTGAATTTCTTGATATGAACATATCCATAACAGAGAAATACTGATGACATCAACTAGAAAACTGGCATTTGTCCTCTCATTTGGATTTTCTGAACTTTATCATTAGATTAACGTGATCAGCAAAGACAATTATGATCTTCAAATGTCAAAGTATCTCTATTCAGGTAGCATCAGCCACTTACATACAAGTTGTATTGCTGCATCGGTATTGAAGTCCCTAAAATCTCTTTCAAAGGCACTCGGCCGGTCTTTAACATGCAATGTAGCATAATGGTTGAGGCCTATGAAGTCTATAGCACCCTTAACTTGCTCAGATTCTTGTCTGGTGAAGGTGGGCATTCTCGAGCCGACCCTATCCTTCATTGTGACAGGATAGTCTCCAAATATCAAGGGACTGATAAACCTGCGGTGGAGATGAGAAATAAAATGAAACCAAATAATTAAGCACAACCACTCATTTGTGCAGTAAATGAATAAGTAGTTCCTTAGTGCAGAGTATCTTAAATTTGAGGAGATGTTATGTTAATAGGCCAAAGGAAATTGTGCTCTTACCAACCCAGGTAGAAAGCATAAGCTCGCAGAGTTGCACCTTCATCTGCCGTTGCATTTGTATGAGGAATAAACCGATATGCAAAGATATTTAATCCCACAAAACCATGCTGTGTTGACTGCATTGCAAATATGTTAGTGTTTTTTTTTGTTATTTCGTTTTGGGAACTCAGTAATAGTCACAAGTTATTTTGAAATTAACTCAATGATGACACCTTGTACTTTCTCTTGTACAATCTGAAAACAGATGAATGAGTAAGCAGCATACTGTGAGCTACTATGTATGGCTTGGTTGAAGAGTTGCCTCTAGAGCAAGGTCCAATTCCAACATGTGGGGAACAGCGCCCTGGGGGTGTAAATCCCAAATCATAACCACCCAAAGCGAATACATTGGCCTCATTCACAGTTGTCCAATGCAAAACCCTATCACCAAATTCCTTGAAGCAAACATCCGCATATGCAATGAAGTCATTGCTAAAAGGATAATATGAATTGTCAAGTTGAAATCAGTCAGATGTCGTAGAATATCTCCTAATTTTCGAAGAATTACAAGTGGAAAGTATTCAGCATACATTATTTTTTCACTTAGCCATCCACCGTATTCATCTTCAAGTACTTGTGGCACATCATAGTGACAAAGTGTTACGTGTGGTTGAATTCCTACAATTTTGAGAATATACAAAAGCATAACATAAGCCCTAAAGCCAATTATTAGATGTTTTACTTACTAGCACTTTAAACGTGCGATTCCAGATCTCTTAACAGCAAGAAAATATGTTCAAACTTTCAACTGAAAAAAAATAGAAAAGTACTGTGTACAAGGAAATGTATTAACCATGACCGACAAGTTCATTGATGAGATTATTGTAATACTGTAATCCCTTTGGATTGACAGGTCCCCTTCCATCTAAACAAAACAAAAACTCAAGTATGAGAAGAAAGAAAACACGAGTATAAGATAAAGTAAGGTTCCTGAGCAGTGGAATAACAAAGCTTACTCGGAATAAGTCTCGACCATGAAATGGAAAATCTGTAGGCTTCTAATCCAGTGTCTACCATGAGTTGTACATCTTCCTGGAATCAGGTAATTTTCGAGGGCAGTAAAATTGATAATCAATTATGTGAACTCAGAGTTTATTCCACCAGTCTATACCTTGTACTTGTGGTAGGCATCGCAAGCTACATCTCCATTTGCTCCATTGTATGCACCTGAAAATTATATAATCTTGGATTTAATTAATGCGACTTGCTGTTCTAATTATCTGAAGCATGGTGGTCCCTAAATCCGAGATAATCAGCTGTCCGAAGGAAACCACATAGTCTGACTATGGAACGAAAAACTTCCACATAATCATAATCACATTAAATTGTTTGGAAATGACTAATTTTAATTGGTCCGGATGGTGATTTTAATTTGGAGCTTTAATCTTGTTAGAAGTTTCTTGAGCCGAGGGTCTATCGAAAACAACCTCTCTACTCCATCGGGGTAGGGGTATGGTCTGTGTACACACTACCCTCCCCAGACCCCTCACCATTTTACTGGGTTTTTGTTGTTGTAATCTTGTTAGAAGCAGACCGGTAATATTGTGGTTTTGGTAATAATCCTTTTAAGTTTTCCTTTCACTCTTTCAATCAGCATACTTTTATAACATCATGCATTTTTCCAACTATCAACTATTAATCTATATAACAT